AACGCGCGTCCTCTGCATCAGGAGGCGGACTCTCAACCACTGCGCCACCAGGGAAGCCCTGTGGTTGATTTTTTTGAATTATGGAAAGACTATGTTTTGTTATCCTAAACATGCCAAGGAATTGTCATGCCAGTTTTCCACAGGGAAAGACATGTATTAGTTTCCTAGAGCTGCCATAACAGAGTACCACAAACTGGGTAGCCCAAGACAACAGAAATGGATTATCTCATAGATCTGGAGGCCAAAAGTCCAAGATCAAGATGTCAGCAGCATTGGTTCCTTCTGGAGGCTTTAAGGGAGAATCTGTTAATGTCTTTCTCCTAGCTTCTAGTGGTTGCCAGAAATCCTTGCCTTGCAGACATATTACTCCAGTCTCTGTCTCCATCATCACTTGGGGTTCTCCCTGTGTCCTTGTGTTTTCACATGGTCTTATAAAGACATCAGTCATTGGATTTGGGGCCCACCCTAATCCAGCATGACGTCATCTTAACTTGATTATATCTGTGGAGACCCTATTTTCAAATAAGGTCACATTAACAGGTGCTGAGGGTTAGAAATTCAACATTTATCTTTTTGGGGACACAATTCAACCCACAACAGGATAGTTTTGGTATTTTGATTGTTCCAATTTTCTTAAATTAGTTTTTTAAATTGTCTATCTTATAACCCATCTTTAAAAAATGTAAGAACAAGAGGTGATCATATTGTACATAAGTGTTCGTATGTCTTCTTCCTATATATTATAAATGTATATATGTGTATATATATATGCTAGTTTTCACATTGTCACTAAGAGGATAAATGAAAATGGAAATAGTTTTTCATATACTTTAAAAGCATCGTTTTTAACCCTTAAATATGTGTTCGTGTTCAATCAAGTATTCTTATTTTACTTATAACCTTATAAAAGAGCAGCACCCAGATACATCCTAACATGAAAACTCACTGCAGTAATAAATTAGATTCTCAGACCAGGGGAAAAAAAAATATGGTTCTTAAAATTTATAATGACTAAGTCAACTAATCAAGCTTGTAATTTCAAATATATTCAATAAGTATCTAAGGAATACTTTCTGTGTACATAAACTATACTTAAAACTGTAGGTTATATGAAGATGAGTGAGATACCATTGCTATCTTTAAGCAGGATAACATAAGTGCGAAAATGATGGTACAAGTCAGTCTAAGATAATATGACTCTAAATACACATATGAAAGGACCTCTGTACTATAAAAGTATGAGAGAAAGACAATATTGAAATTACAGAAACTTAGATCTTAAAGGATTTTAGAAGTCTTTTAATCTACCTCTCATTGCAAGAATCCTTTTAAGAACCCCAGACAGGTTACCTTTTAGCCTGAGTTTGAAATCTTGTGATTTCAAAGTGACTGACTGAACTCCGTCACAGGCCAGTTCATTCTATTGTTGGACAACTCTCACTATTAGAAAGCTCTTACATTAAAAATGGGTATGGAGTTAGAATTTGTATCTACGTGGCCTGTTTCACTGGCTCTTTAGAACTGAGGCAAATCGAGTGAGATTTTAAAAGCACATGAGTTAAGATTCTAATTCTGCATTAATCTTTGTCCCTGCCCCTTGAATTATTAGTACTCCCACTACAGGATATTTAATCTCATCTGCTAAATGAATTTTTAAAATTCACCTAGAAGCAACTACATATAAATATCCATGATGAAAATGCATGTATGGTACTTTGAATATCTATGGAGAAAACTAATTACAATTTGCCTGAAGTGTTTTTAAATATTTTAAATCTTAAAAGTTGAGCTTGAAAAATACATCATATAGGTAGACTTCACTCTCAGATAGTTGAAATTGTGCATTTTTAAAAGGCCAGAGAACAATAGGTTACTCTGGTGAAAAGGTAGCTTTCTTTCCCTTAAATTCCATGATATCTCACAGCATTTCTTAAAATGTGCTTCTTAACCCAAGAGTAAATAAGATTGATTTTTACAAACGTCCACAAGGTATAGGTGGAAAAGAATAGAAATAGGAATCATATAGGAATACAGGAATCTTGGAAACTTGCTCAACTTTCTTGATAATGGGAAATAATGACCCTAGACTCTCAGAAGAAATGTGTCAAACTGATGCAGTTATTAACTGAATCCCATAAATTGCCCAATAAGCTATTGTATGAAATCGGAGATCTCTGTGGCATTACTGACAGCAAAGCAAATTGGTAACATTGGTTCACACCAACCTTTTAGGCGAGGGAACAGCCTACATTATTAGTGAGTACAGAAGTCAGGAAGCCTGACTTGTAGGTCCAGCTCTGTCACTAGCTCTGTATGACTTTGGGCAGGTCACGCCACCTCTCTGGGCTTCATATTTCCAATCGGTAAAATAGAGTTGGACTAGATATTTGTAAGATCCCTTCTGCCTCTTAAAATGTTATTGATTCTGTAAAAACATCTGCCTTCATCTTTGCTAGCATGACAGCGAAAGTCATGATGACATTAAACTTCAGAAGGCCTTAAGAAAATATTTAGGAAATTAGAGAGCTTTGTACCTAATATTTTGATTCTTTCTGGCAACAAGAAACTCATTTTCTTCAGCCTCATCAGTAGTTTCCTCCCTTCTATGAATTATGCATGCTTTATGATGAAATGTGGAAAGCTCATTTCCCCCTGGTTTCTTGTTTTGTGTGGATAGATGATCCTCTAAGGATTTCCATATTAATAACAAGTTCCCACTGACAAAACACTAATCATAAAATTTTCTTTCTACTATAACTACAGCTTGAGACAAAACAAAATAAAGGTATACTTGGTATATATATATTTATATATATATATATATATATTTTTTTTTTTGTGGTATGCGGACCTCTCACTGTTGTGGCCTCCCCCATTGCGGAGCACAGGTTCCGGAGGCGCAGGCTCAGCGACCATGGCTCACCGGCCCAGCTGCTCCGCGGCATGTGGGATCTTCCCGGACTGGGGCACGAACC